AAACGAAGGGAGAACTTCTACATTAAAAAGTTATGGATTGTTTAAAATTCTTTTATAATATTATAAAGTTTTCAAGAAAAAATATTTATAATTTGTTTCATTTTTTTTAAAAGAAATATTTTCACCCTTCTCATCATTAATAAAAAAAAAAAAAAAAAAAAGAATTGGGGTTCGTTAGGACTAAGGTGCTGTTTGTTTTTTTATCTGAAAGCTGAATGGATTTGATTTTTGAATATGTCTGAATGTATAAGTTAGATTGATATATTTGTTTGTTTTTTTTAATTGTACGGTTACAAGCGTTAGATTGCTTGTTTTTATTGGTGTTTTGACACATGTTCTTTGGAAGTTAATTTTATATGTTTACATGCATGATAAGTATGTTATTACAAATTATGAAAATCAAAATAAAATAAATATATAAAAGTTAATGAAAACTATGTTATTAAAATGTGTTTATATAGTAATTAAAAATATATGATTAAAAAAAAAAAAAAAATTAAGAACCACTAAATTAGTTATATCCTTGAAATAGTTAATTTCAATTTGGTCTCGCAATTGTTGTATGAACATTTGTGATGTAGTAATGAACAATGTCATATGAACAGTGATGATAGTGAACAGTGCTAAATAGTGTCGATGATGTCAGAATGCGAGGATTTTTGGCATGGCACTCCGAAACGATCAAATAAGTTAGGCTAGTGGAAAAGTACAAGTTTTGTCATTTTTTTGCCTTTTGGAGTCGTTTAGATGGTTTTTTTTAGCAAACTTCTAGAGTTTTTGGGTATTTGGTTTGCATGTTTTGGGACCTTTTTGTAATAGTTATTTAATGTTCTTTTTCTTGGGTTTTCAATTAGGGCAAACTATAAAAAGGCTGTTATAGCCATAATAGGGCAGTTTTTTTATGATTATTTTTATTGAATGAAAGTTTAAAAACTTTTTGTGGTTGTTTATCCAATTCAATATCCAAACTTGATACATTCGGTGGTGGTTTTTCGTATCAATTATTCCTTGATTGTTCAATCATCTTATTATTTCGGCATCAATTTGATCAATTGTTTCAAGCAAATTGATTACATAATTATTATAAATATTAATATAAATAATAATCAAATTAACTTAAATACAAATAACAAAAAAAATAAAAATTGGAATGGCACTATAGATGGGCACCAAATTGGTGCAAAAATTGGCGCTGGGTTGGAGGAGTTTTTCACGCTATTTTGGTGCTTTGGGTTGGAGATGTCCTAAAGGAAATAAAATAAACGACCCCTAAGCCTAAAGGACAATAACGGGCTATTTTTTAAAATAAATTATTAAAAAGTTAAAAAAATAATCAGAGAACCTACCCTTTACCAAATTGAATGCAGTGTAATTTTATTGACCAGACATAAATATTTTATCTATAAGGCTTTTTTCATAATATAAAAAGTTATTTACAATTAGTTAATGGGACACAACAGTCGAGATATAAGATAGTAAAATATAATTTTTAATTAAATCTATTGATGTTATTAAATTTTTTATCTATTTTTAAATTTCTTAATTTCATCTCTATGTGAACAAATCCAAGACCTCTTTTTTTAAAAAACAAAAGTTTGTATGGAACCAATTATAATATTATCTACTCTTGCCAAGAAGGAACCAAGCTTTAAAAAAGTTCAATTAAAATAAAATGTAATACGAAATAAATAATTAATAAATAAATTTGAGGCAAAAACTTTTGATTTCTAAAAATATTCAAAATAACTTAAATAGACCTAATTTTTTTACTTAGAAGTCAGCCTCTAATTTAGTCAAAACCTGTGCAGAAAAATCAACAAAATTCCTTCTCCGGAAAATAAATATTCATTATATATATATGTATACTAATTATCTGTACAATTTCCCAGCCACTGCATTATTTTAATTAATATATAAATGTCACGAGTTATAATACTATATAATAAATTAATCACAAGACAATACTTTTTAGGGAGTTATAAGTCGTTTTCCGACGTTGATGGCTATGAATTTTGTTTTTATGGAAGGGAAATATAATGGTAGCACGATCACAATTTTAGGGAGTTATAAGTCGTTTTCCGACATTAGAGAGATGCCCGTGATCGGAGGCAACAGACTTTTTGATATGCTATGTTCATGCTAGCACTCACAAACTTGATATGGCCACCGGAGATGCGGTGGTTGAGTACAATATATATATATTATATATAATATATATTATATATAATTATATATAATATATATATATTATATATATATATATATATATATATATATATGTATATGTTACAATTATTGATTGATTGATTAATTAATTAATTAATGCTAGCTTCAATTGATTAATTGTTATTCAATTTGTTTTGGATTATGTTTTAGCTTCCTTTTGATTGATTTTAATAAGCTAATTAAGTAGCCCTTGGTGTCTGCTGTTAATTTTGAAATAAAAAATATGTTTTAGAATTTGGATTTATTAATATATAATAAACGTTTCTCCAATTTCATCTTCTTCCTCCTTTCAATGTTCGCAATTGCCTTGTCTCCGGAGAGAGTTATGGCTATGCAAAAACCCTAGACCGGAAGCTCTTCAGCCTCAAGTAAGAATAACTTAGCCATTTTCGGATTTATTTATTATAAATATAATTAGTAAAAAGGATCAAAGTTGAAGCCTAACAACATTGACCATAAAGCTGTTAATAAATTTAATTGAAGTCTTTTCACTTCGCACAAGTCAATTTTAAATCAATTCTGCAACCTGGCATTAATTTTGTTGTATGGTAGGGTGGCATGTCGGTCTATATTTTATTGGCCGAACCATTTATACCTATCTAAGGTTTGATAAAACGACAGATTGGTACCTAAAAGGTTTCAAAATGGCAAACATGTACCTTTCATTAGTGAAAAGACTATAATGTCCTTTGAGAAATATTAGTCTATTTTTTTAATTACTTTTAGACCCCTTAGGTTTATCAATTCTATCGAATACCCCCAGAAAAAAGTTTAAAAATTAACAAAAACACCCTCACCCACCCATACTTGCCAGATTTTGGCAGGCCACCGCCGGTGGTAGCCAGAATCTGTCACAACGGTCTACGCCACCACCGTAAATGGCTGGTAATTCACAGATCTGGCCTTTTCCGGCCAGATCCACCATGGATCTGACCGAAAAAGGCCAGATGTGATGTGAAAATGCCAGATCTGGCCGGAAACTGATGGCCAAAGAAATGGCCGTCGTTGATTGTCAAAGACGGCCAAATCTTGGCCATCGTTGACAGACAATGACGGCCATTTCTTTGGCCGTCAGTTTCTGGCCAAATCTGACCTTTTCACGTCAGTTTCTGGCCAGATCTGACCTTTTCAAGTCAGATCTGGCCTTTTTTGACCAGATCTATGAATTACCAGCCATTTACAATGGTGGCATAGACCGTTGTGGCAGATTCCAGCTACCACCGGCTGTGGCCATCAGAATCTGGCAAGTATGGGTGGGTGGGGGTGTTTTTGTTAATTTTTAAACTTTATTTCTGGGGGTATTTGATAGAATTAATAAATTTAAGGGATCTAAAAGTAATTAAAAAATAGACTAATATTTCTCAAAGGGCATTCTAGTCTTTTCACTAATAGAAGATACTTGGTTGTCGTTTTGAAACCTTTTGGGTACCAATCATCGTTTTGCCAAACCTTGGGTAGGTGCAAGTCGTTTCCCCTATTTTATTTGATGCTTAATTCTAAAGTTAAACTTAATATGCAGATAAAATTTATAATTAATAATCTTATTTACCAAACCCCAAGTCACCAATTGGCATACTATCCCCCACCTCCCTTGAGATTTGAGCTATTCTAGTGACACCCACAAGTTAAAAAGTATCCCTAACCTGCCCTCAAAGGGCTCAAACCTCCTCTCTTCACCGTTTGCTAATAGAATCCTTTAGATTTGTTGTATTTTCCTTAATATTTTTTCTAAAACCCCTAAAGTATATAGATAACAAAAAACCCCCGAAGTATGTAGGTTTACTTTATTTTTATTTTTTATAAAAATTAAAAGTAAATTGTATTTATTATTATTTTTGTATTTTAGTAGAATTAGGGGGTAAATATATTTTTTTAACTTGATTTGTTTGAGAACTCGATCCAACCCAAATTTTTTAGGTTGGGTCGGGCACTTTTGCCCACCTGTATTAAGAAAAATATAATAAACTTAACAGATTTTGTTAGTAAACAGTGGAGAGGGAAGGTTTAAGAAAAAATTTGAAAATTAGTGGGGATGTTATATAAAACCCATTTGGTTTATTAGTATTACCTTATCTTATTCGATTATCCTATCCTAAAAACTCAAAAATACGTTTGTTTCATTATTTTTAAAATTCAATTCTACTTTATTTAATTTTTAAAATATTAATAATTATTTTTCTCATAAAAATAACTCAATTTTACTATTTCTAAAATATTATCTTAAAAAACATTAATGAACCAAACGGAGCCAAATTTTTAAATAATATTACCTATCCACCCTTATAAGTTAAATAACTACTTTAAATATACTGTCAAGTCACCCTTATAAGCTTACGACTCAACCAATTTCTTTTCCATATGGGATCGAAACATTTCACCTTCTTCCAAATGCTAATTAAAATATTATTGCTTTTGAAAAATACTTGCTGAATAATTTTTTAAATAAAATTGTTTATCCACCTTTATAAACCCAAGATTAAACATATTTCTTTTCATGTAAGATCGTAACACTACACCGGCTTTCTAAATACTAATTAAAATAAACTACTACCTAAATAATTATTTTTAAATGTAATATTTTTTTAATGTTGTCAGTTACAGTAACATTGCAAACATCTAGAACAAGTTGAGTGGGTAAGTATACTGACAATGAATTATTATTATTATCATTATTTTATAATAAAGTTACCCAAACTTTAAGATATGCCCACCAAACTAATATTATAAATAAGCACAAACAACCTGGTACTTCCATTAAATCAAGTAATCCACCGTGACACTCTCTTCATGGCAAAATTTCTCCCAATTTTCTCTTCCCATTTCATCATCATCTTCGTCTTCTCAATCTCCATAATTTTAATCTCCAGCGAACACCATGGCTCTGCAAAAACCCTAAACAAAAAAGATTTTGGTCTCGGAAAAGAGAAGCTTAGTCATTTTCGATTCTATTGGCACGACACTCTTTCTGGCTCTAATCCTTCTTCAATGCAAGTTGTGCCTCCGGTTTCTAATTATTCATCAACCACAGCTTTTGGTTTGATGAACATGATTGATAATCCCCTAACCGAAGGTCCTAACTTGAGCTCGAAACTGATCGGGAGAGCACAGGGGCTTTATGGTGCGACGTCACAAGAAGAAGTAGTATTATTGATGGCGATGAATTTTGCTTTCGTTCAAGGTAAGTATAATGGTAGTACTATAACTGTGTTAGGGAGGAACCCAGTGTTTTCGAAGATGAGAGAGATGCCGGTGATCGGAGGGACGGGACTTTTCCAATTCGCTAGAGGGTATGTTAAGCTTAAAACTTACGAAGTGGATAATAACACAAGAGATGCTATAGTTGAGTATAATTGTTATGTGCTACATTATTGAATTTGGTAACCTTCATCATAAATTCATCATTCCATCATCACTTTTGCTTACTTTTTTTTTTTTTTTTTTTTTTTTTTTTTTTTTCTCTTCAAGTATAATAATTTCATCCACCTTCAATAATGATCCATAACCTACTTGTGGTTGTAATAGTTTACTTGTGGACTTAATATCAACCTGTCTCCTTACATTGATCGAAAATCAAATGAACCACAAACAATTGAGAAATTAACAAATGCCTTCCTATGAGATTAACCTTTACAAAATTAATAAATTAAAAAGGATATATGTTATAAAACCTTTAAAAAGAAGAGAAAAAAAAAAAAACCGACTTAAAATTCAGATATTTGAAAAGAAATAAATACTCCTAACTGGTAAATGATTATACATAAAAGTGATTTATACCCAATGAGTGAATACATTTATGAATTTGATAGTGTCAAGAGTAACAATATTGCAAAAATGAACCCAAAAATCGAGAAGTAGTGTCGTGGGATGATTACCATAATCACCGATACGAACACATGCATGTTTGATAATACCATTGACACTACAACAATCAGTTTTGACGTATCTTGCAATAGACAGTTTCATGATCACTTAACTTGGTTGACATGGTGAGACGATCTAATGATATCATGATAAATGTCCTCACATATTTATCGAATTTTCACTTTCATCCATCCATCACTATGATTTATAAATAGCTACATATATCATTCATAAATAACCACCATCATAAAAGTTGTTTTGAAAATTAACAATATATGTCTTTGTATTATGGACACATCAACTAAATAAGGTGGTGAGTGAGATGACGAGACATCTCATACAAATTTTTCTCGGGTGGCAGATTTGCCCTGGCTTGGTGACCATCCCCCGAAGAAAAGTTTAAATTTTATGTAGAAATATTTTAACTTTGAATTTTATACTTTCTTCAGCCCCCTCTATACAATTATTATTATATTTTATTATTTTATTTTGCAATTGTTTCAGCAGCGAGATTCGGAACTCCAATCATTCTTATCGTGTGTTTGGTTGCAGAGAAAATCAAGGTGAAAATAACAATGAGTCATTTTTGTTTATCACCTTCTGTTTGAGTTGAGCAAATTTAGATCTAGTTTACTTTCTCATCCCTGTTCGGTTGCTTAGAAAATAGAGGAAACTAAAGAGAAACTAATATCCAGAGGCATGCATTTTGTTGTTTCGTCTAGAATTTTCAATTCAATATTCGAGATCGTGAATGAAACATTTGGAATACAAATTCCTCTTGTTTCCTTTAGTTCCTCGGCAGCCGAACAGAAATGTATTGTTTTGTGATCAAGAATTGCGTTTTAAAATTGTGAATTCGCAAAGCTTATTTTCCTACCCTCTGTTTGATTGCTTAGAAAATAAGAAAACTTATGAAAATTAAAATCCAGAATCATTTTGCTGTTCATCTAGAATTTTCAATTCAGAATTCGAGATCAACGAATGAAACATCTGGAATTCAAATTCCTCATTTTTTCTTCAATTTCTTAGAAACCAAACAGATATGGATCATTTTCTCACGATCAAGAATTCAAATTTCTTGAATTTCCCTTAGTTTCTCAGCAACCAAACAGATTTGTATCGTTTCATGATAAGGAATTGAGTACTAATTAGCTGTGTGAATGGCAGGTTGGGAGAAATGTAGATCAGGTTTCATCAATATCCATTGCTGTAAGTTAATTTAATTTAGGTGTTATTTGAACTCAAATTCATCAATTTCTATTATTAAATCGTCTGTTTGTTCATGATTTTCAGTAAATGTGATTCTTCACTTCCTATATACTTTTGAGATTGCAACCTGTTTGAATAAAACCACAAGTGTTTTACAACTATTAACATCTCAATCTTAAGATAGGTTGTTAGAACTCAGGCTCAAGCGAGAGTCTAATCCAAAAATCAGCATGATAGATGGTAAAGCTCCTAGGCTTAAGTATACACTTGGTGGGTATGATTTCATGTGGGATCCATACAGCACTCCCTTTCAAGAGTCGATGTCCAAGGCGGTTTTCACTCAATCGATATTGATTGACGGTAGCTCTTTCCCCTTTAGGCGGCTTCACTCACGTATAATCACTCTATCGACACTAATTTGACGGTAGCTCTTTCTCCCTTCGGGCAATTTCTTCATCTATCAGTTTCAATGCATACCTGTTACAATAAAGAAGAGAAAAAATAGTGTTTTGCTAAAACAAGTAAAAAAGGACAGGCTTTAAATAAAAAACTAAAGGACAAAAGTGAATAGGAGAAAGTAATTGTCTCTGTGTTTATTCAACAAAAAGAACTGCCTTTATATAAGCTTATACATAACGAATAAAAGCAAGAAAATAGGCACTACACAACGTGCCAAAACTAACACCTACGGACTAGGTAAATGAAAAAGGCTAACTTGTTGAACACAACAAGTTCCAAAAAAGACTAGGTCAACAACTAGCTAACAAACTCTTTTTTAAACAATCCTTCCTTTAAACTGATGTTCAAACATTCAATTTAATACACAATTCAAAAACAAAACAAAATAAAACTCCGAAGTCCCTCAAATATCCAGTATACAAACACCCAACAATTCTCTTAACTTCAGAAACGAAGGAAATTTGAGAGGCTTTGTAAATATATCTGCAAGTTGATCTTCACTTCTACAGTAGATGAGCTCAATGGTTCCAGCCTTTGTAAGATCTCTTTGGAAGTGAAACTTCACATCTATGTGCTTACTTCTCCCATGTAGAACATGATTTTTGGAGAGTTTGATTGCTAAAGTGTTGTCACAAAAAATTGCAGTAGGCCCTTGTCTCTTGAAATGAAGCTCCTCAAGAATTATATTCAACCATATGGCTTGACACGTGCATGAACTGGCAGCAACGAACTCATCTTCAGTAGTTGATAGAGTGACGATGACTGTTTCTTTAATGACCATGAAACAACCCCTGAACCAAGAATAAAAACATAGTCTGAAGTACTTTTTCTATCATCTTGATCCCTTGCATAATCGTTGTTAGTAAAACCAATCAAGTCTGACTTTTCTCCCTTCTTGTAGAACAGCCCAAATTGCTTAGTACCTTGTAAGTACCATAGTATCCTTTTGGCAGCTAGCAAATGCATCTCTGTCAGATTATCCATGTATCTGTTGATGAGACTCACTGAATACATTATATATGGCCTTGTTGCTGTTAAATACATTAAACTTCCCACAATCTGCTTGTAAAGAGTTCCATTAACCTCCTTTCCTTTATGATCTTTATTTAGCTTCAAACTAAACTCAGTTGGTGTATTCACCGAATTGCAATTCTTCATCTGAAACCTATCAAAATCAGCTTGTATTTGTTGTTTGGTAGTGTTTTTATCCCATTTCCAGAATCTTCCTTCATCAAAAATTACGTCACGACTAATGACAATTTTCTTGGTGATAGGATTGTACAATTTGTATGCTTTTGACATCTCACTAACACCAAGAAAAATGCATTTTTCTCCCTTGTCATCAAGCTTTTTCCTCTTTTGATATGGAATATGAGCATATGCTATGCAACCAAAGATTCTGAAGTGGTTGAGGCCTGGTTTGCATCCATTCCATGCTTCTTCAGGCGTCATGTTTTGAACGGCTAGAGTGGGACTTCTGTTCAAAATGTGAATGCTCCAGATGACTGCTTCAGGCCAAAAACTTCTTGGGATATGACCTTTTGACAGAATAGTCTGCACCATGTTTAGAATTATACGGTTCTTCCTCTCTAAAATGCCATTTTGCTATGGCGAATATGCTGTTGCTTTTGAATACCATGGTTCTCACAAAAATTTACAAATTCGTGTGAGGTGTATTCTCCACCACGATCGCTGCGAAAAATCTTAATAGGTTTGCCTGCTTCTTTTTCGACCAGCATCTTAAAGCTTTTGAAAGCTAAAAAAGCTTCAGATTTCTCCTGCAAAAAATAAACCCAAGTTTTCCGACTGTAATCATCAATGAACGTTATAAAGTAACGTTTACCACTATTTGATGTTGGATTAATGGGTCCGCATATATCAGAGTGAACTAGCTCCAACACCTTCTTCGCTCTCCATGATTTTCTTTTAGGAAAATGATCTCGATGTTGTTTACCAACAGCACATTCTTCACAAATTTGAGAAGGTGTCTGAATTTGTGGAAGTCCAGTCACCATGTTCTTTTGTTATAGTGTTTTTAAACCACCAAAATTCAAATGTCCATAGCGAAAATGCCACAACCATCCCTCATCCATCAGTTTTGTAGAGAAATAATTCTAAGTAGTGTTGTCTAGATACAGTGGGAACATTCGATTTGTAGTCATGTTGACTTGAGCAATTAAGCCTAATTTCTTATCTTGGATGCGACAAACTCCATCTTTAATAAAAATCTCGTATCCCTTCTCTTGAAGCTGACCAACACTAAGCAAGTTGGTTTTTAAATCTGGAACAAAAAAGACATTAGAAATAATCTGATCAGATTTTTCTTTGGAGTGAATTCGTACACTTCCTTTGCCCATGACAGAAACTTTGAAGTTGTCGCCAAAAGTTACAGAGTTGCAAAATGTTTCATCCAAGTCTGAGAACGCTAACTTGTCCCCACACATATGATTGTTGCAGCCAGTATCTATATGCCACAAGTTTTGGTGGATGCCTTGATTCGCATGACACGCCATCAAGAGGGAAACAACTTCATCTTTCTCTGCAAAATTAGATCTTTCTCCACATTGCTTATTCAAATTAGTTCGACACTCAGACTTATAATGGCCATACATGTGACATCGAAAACATTCAACTTTCGACTTATTTGTAGACTTCGATTTATAGCCATTTGAGTGGTTGTTATCATGGCTTTTCCATTTCCCTCTTGAATCAGGAGCATGATCATTTTTGTCCTTCCATTTACCTCTGCCAAGACATGAACCTTTGGGATGTGTTGTAGCTTGTAAGGCTTGTCCTTCCTTATCCTGTTGGACAATTTTCTGCTCATGGACAAGCAGGGAGCTTTGTAGCTCATCAATGGAGAGTGT